AATGTCTGTCCAGTCTCATAAAGATCATGAGATCTGTTAAACATCTGAACTTGTCACCTGATTGTTGACTATTCTGATAGATCATTGTTTTATTCTTTGAATATTATTTCTCCTACACTGCCTAGTTTTTTTTTGGGTTTCATGCATTCATCTTTATCTCGACCCTCGTCCCATACATCATTGTAGCACATTCACACTCTTTGTTACAAGGATGGGGAGAATTCCCCTTTCCTCGATCCATTCTTATAGAGGGATGATGTCCATTGTATCTAGTCTGTACCATAATGGGATATGCAATCGATGAGTGTTCCCAGTCTTGCATGGGAGTGGATGATCAAATTCCCATCGATCGCGGTTCGTGATGGAGTGAGCTATTAAGGAATTGATGGTAGGTAGTCAGAGACATCAGGATGGATGGGTCAGCCATGGGTACTTGGCGCTCCTCAATGGAGTGTACTGTGTGCACAGTCGTGACTCGCGAGATGGGTGAAGACTTTGTATAGTTGCCATTGGTTACTTGGCATTCGCAACGTGAACCTACCGGTAGCGGGTTGATATCATGAGCGTACAATGAGGCATGACTAGTGGGGCCTTTGGTGACTTGGCATTCCCAAAGGGAACGTACCGTTGGCGAGGGAATATGATGGCTGATGGGGGAGGGAACAGACAATGGATGGATGGCTACTTGGCGCTCGCATAGCGAGCATACCGGCATCATGGGAACGTGGGCCTCAGAGTATTCATGATCTCCAAGATTGTGGTATGACGTCAACCATCGGGCACTGGGGGGAGAGCTGAGTGATGAAGTCCCATAGGATGATATACAGGTCGAGAGTCTTCGACTCGCGACTTCGAGTTCTTGCGGTGAGGGCCGCTGGAGGACTCAACATAACGAGACTTATAGGACATGTTGAGAGTTGTACAATCACATGGGTTCAGTTGAGTCACAAGGAGGGGTTTGTCATATCCATTCCCGGCCATCGACTTCCGGGCTCTCCGACCCCTCCGTTCTAACTCCGCTCCCCCCTCACCAACCTCGGAGCCCCTGTATTCCGCAAACCTCTTGGTACCCCTCGATGGTCACCACCCCCTCATTTCAATTTATTACCTACGCCTCCCTAAGTACGGAGCCCCGAAGACTTCCGGACAGCTCCGACGTCCGCTAGCGCACTCCCGCCTCCGCTGGGCAATACACTTGCCTGCCCTGCAGAGTCCACCTTCAGGCCTATCCCTCCTTTCCGTTTCTGGGTTAACACCTGCCTTTCCGCTAACCCCGCGAACCGACTCGTCGGTAATATTCAGTCGGCTAATGTCTTAACCCCGTTAGCTCCGCTCCGTCCGGCTCCGCCAATTGCGGAACCGTCTCCGCTGTAACCATATATATACACTACTTGTACATAGGTTACGCCCCAGCAGATAAATCAACTAGAGTTACCCCCACTAGGTTCTAAGCGCCAGTCAGTAAGTTAGGGCACGGACGTGTCACTAGGCACAGCGCTCCTGGCAGAAGTCGCTGAGGCCAAAGCCCTCCGTTACGGAGACATTCCTTCGTCTTAAATCTGGTCTCTGACAGGGTTGTTACAAGGGACGGCACACATGACAGTTGTAGTGAGTAGTAGTTAACAGGAACCGCCTTCGGCAGTTTCCGTACATGATGTGTGACTATCTACAAATGGAAAGGTCACAGGAAATCCCATGAAACATAAACAACCTCGGCCAGCACCAAAACCCCAATGGGGAAAGCTTTGCACGAGGGGGGGGAAAGAAGTAGAACAGGCAAGGAAGATAAGGTATCGGGATAGAAGATGAAAGAGAGAGAGAGAGAGGGAGAGAGGGAGAGAGGGGAGCAATGGAGATGGGAAGTCTTTGACTATGCGACAGATATGGTCATTGGAGACTCTGTATCCATAACACTCTTCCTCATCCCATTATTGTCTCTGTTCGTCTCAATCTACCCCTACCTTGGGGCTTTGCTGTCAGCTACAAGTTTTGTCTGTCTTAAATCCATCTAGCACCAAAAGTGGACTGATATTCTGACCAGTATATCTTGCTTTTCTTTTCTTTTCTTTTCTTTTCCCTTTAACCACATATCCACCCATTCTAGTAGTACTAGTACGGTTGATTGACTCCGATCAATTCCTTTGTATCCCTTATTCTATTCCATTTCCCATGATTCCCCTGCTTCCTAATGATGGTCTTTTTTCTGCATTTGCACCATTGCCTTTCGGGTCTGTGCTGTATGTGATTTTTGACCATTTTTGCCGATTTGATTCCTGTTGGAATTTGCACATGGTCTTTTAGGGAAACCTAAAAGTTGGACATACTGGGAATCGAACTCCAGTCCTCTGGATTGCGAACTCAGTGTGCACAGCCATTACACCATACACCCTGTTAGGCTGAGGTGGTTATTTCAACAATTCCTTTGCTGTTACCATTTCAACCAATTTCTATGCAAGTTGTTGGGGCCCAGATCGGACCATGTGTAGCACCATGCATAAGAGCGCACGGAGAAGGTTGTTGCATTGATATGTGGCAGTGCGGCTGTCCCACAGCGCCGCAGCCTGGGGGATCGGCGATACATAGTAAGGGTGCCTGGTTGGTATGGTGGTGTACCTGCAGTGTTTATGAACCTCCACCTCTTCCACGTGCTCCAGGTCGATCATGCTCCCCCTTCCCTTGGGTGGTGCAGCATGGCACCTGTTCCTTGGGTCGATTTCTGGAAGAGCATACAGTAGGACACCTAGGGATGGGGATGACCAAGGGTGGTGGATAGTGATGGAGGATAGTTTGATGACAACATTGCACTTTCAGGGGTGTGGGTGTCGAGTGTTGGTCAGGTCAATGCCACAGCCTCAGGTTTGCTGGAGCTAATTATAATCGGTCAATGGCATAGCACTTGGGCGAGCATGTCGAAATTAATTGCAAAGGGACGCTAACCACCAGATACTGGGCAAATGACAGCAACTTCTTCACCCTTGAAGTAAACTTCATTCACATCCCGTTCATCTCAGCATCCACACTCCACAAACTCTTGGTCAAGACATCCTGTAGAGCAGGGTGACATTCCACTGGAAGACAAGCAAGCTGACCAAGTGTGAGTGAAGTATCTGGGAAAGGAATCATCTCGGTGTGGAGACCTGTTGTGGATTGAGCAGCTGCAAAGTACAGCAAACTGGTTCCCAGTGCTCTGAGCAGCTGGCAAGGATCTGGACATGACCGATAAAACACACTGAACTCGTGTTGATCTTTTGATCTAATTTGGAGTTTGTGGGAAAGTGTCTGAAATATTGATATTTAATGGAGGTACGAGATTAAATTAGACTTGTGTGCACTCAGTCTAAATGCACTCTTGTTCTCTTTTCACACATGGCATTTTTCCTGGTGGTGCTTAATCTTATGCACTGTACCTGCTGTCAGCCTTATGCATAACTGTGCCTTCTGAGGTTACAGTCATGCCGATTCAGGTTTATTGCCACTGCATTCCTGGGTCGATTCTTCCAGACAATCTCATACGTGAGTTTCATCCACCTATGCTACAGGGCTCTGGCCCTCTTATACCTTATCCTCTGCTGAAGGCATGATCTTTCTTAGTCTTTTCTTTTGACCTGTATGCTGTTTTTTGATGAAGTCTTTCCTTCATCTTCCTTGCTTCCAGTAAGCCTTTCGGTCTTGCCGAGGGGGAGGTGTTGTGACCTTCGGTTACTCTTGGTGGGTGGGATCCCGATTGCTTACTTAGGTTTGTTGGAATATGGGATGGAGTAACCTCCCTAACCATCAGGACCTCCCTGGCATAACGGGTGAGTAGTGTATGGATGCACGCTAGAGGTCCTGGGTTCGATACCAGGCTTGTCCATTTTATGTCATTTGTCCAGTCACCTGGTTTATATCATTTGGATATCACGGAGTAAGTCCGGGAAGGCAATGTGCAATTTCTTCAAGGTTTTTCTAGGTTTCCTTTTTTCGGTTGTTTCCTTGCTCACTGTAACTTCTGTCTTTCCTTCCTTATTGCTCGTCATCCTTGTTTTTTGCGAAGGTGCTGCAACCCAATGGCCTTATTTGTTTGTTTGTTTTATTCTGGATATTTAACCTGCAAAACTTCAGGCTGCTCACATGAGCGCCGAGGGCAGGGGTCTCGAGAAAAATACACGCAAATAAAGTAAAATAACAGATAAGTCGTCCTTCTTCGTCCGAATGAAGCCCAGACCATATTCCCCTGGTGAGTCGTCACTTACAGATGTTCAGATATTGTGTTGCCAGCGCCAAAGATGGGAGGGGTTCCGCTTCACGAGCGGGCATTATCTCTTGGGTTTTGGTTTTCCTCCGTTGTCTCCTAAGTAGCGTTTTTCTTTTCATATGCTCCGCTCTCATTTAAGAATCCTGCCACTCACTTGATCCCCTCTTCCTTCCACAGGAGGTCCGCAAGGGTCAGAATTCCATCTTTGTCTCATAGGACCCGATGGCCTTAGCTGTGGCTTAGCGGAGTTGGCCGAATCATATCCCATGCGTTTAATTTGGCGTGTTATACTGAAGACCGACGACTGCACTTGTGGTTTGCAGGCTGAACATTTGTGACTTAATGGAGGTACGAGATTACATGGGACTTTTGTTCCGCGGAAGCCGGATTTTAGCGTTCCATGGCTAATTGGGTCAGGATGAAGAGCCTGTATATTGACTCATCCTCGGCCTCATCGGTCTCAGGTCAGTTTGCCGCTCATGCACAGCCCTACGCGCGCCGCTTCTTATAGTCCATTCCCCTTCAGGGCCGTGTTGTGAATGTATCGGTCTTGCAGTGGGTGGAGGTACTTGCGTCCTTCAGCTGAATCTGAATATGCCAAATACACACTTATGTGAGTCTGGGTCCTGAGGCTGAAGAATCAGTTCGTTCAATTAGGTGTGTCCCATGTCGCAGCACTGCTCTTAGCCATACATGGTTGCGCAAGCAGGCTGACATCCCTGGAATCCCACCTCGCTCTGTGGGAACTATGCCTCCGACAGGGCTCTTATATCCAAAAGATTGACTTAAAGACAAATGGAGGACTCATCAAATCTATCCCAGGACTAAGTCCGCCCAACACACCTCGTATGCAGTTGGATCCTAACAGTTGTTCGTCAGTTTTATTACGATCTGAAACGAACGGCCTCATTTTTTCTTCGGGCCCAAGGGGTGCTTCCAAATCGGTAAGGTTCGGAGTGATTGGGAGTGAAACGTTCCATTTATCGTACAGCTCCATTGAAATATCGACTGCAGACAAGTGAGGAGTTTGGCCATAAAATACAAAGTCACAAAGACCTACCCGGATCCTCATGCTTCCTCTTTCCGTCATGAGGCAATTGGACGATGAGATGGAGATGCCTTTTCTCGGGATCTTCCTGCCAGTATTTGGATATCCTGTCTTCAGGGTCGAGAATCTGCACGGGGCCGTTTCCCTCCAGTGCCACGTCGCATTCAGGATCAGGGAACTCATCCTTTGACGGAAAGCTATTTTTTCGGCTCCTGTAACCTCCCTTGGTATCGGCGATGAGAGCTTCCACAAAACCAGCTGGTTTACATCCAGATGATCCAGTTGGTGGGCTAATTTAGACTTGATACTGTCGCAAAGGAAGTCAACAGATTCGCGAGGCGACACATCCAGAGAAAAAAACACGGCACCGAGATGGTTTCTTCCACCGTCAACCGCCAAGCAAGTAAGAGTAATGGAAGTGGCCATGGGCAACTATTCTCGGAAAACCGGCAACAGCCGTTGTGATGGTACTTTTAGTAAACTGTGCCAACTTCACATAATCATCACAGAGCCGATGAATGCTGACGTCACAATAAATGACTCAATCGGCTTGCACGAGGCGCGAGGATGCCGATTACCATCATCTCAAACTAATCTCTCACGCCAGGAAGACCGCACCTGCAGAAATAGATCCATTCTCCCAGCCCAATCACACTAGTACGATTTCTGACCATGAATATTTTTGCGTTGTGCCGGGATATGAGTTTGCCCAACGACCATGGCAACCTGTTCCGTGGGCCGATTGGTGGCACGAAATCAAACAAGATGCCTGAGCTGCATGAAGTGTTATGGCTTCTTTCACTCAGTGGGCATCCGTGAGCACTGGATGGTGTTGTGCTATACATTCCATGTTACGCTGACAATATCTCTGTGACCCAGCCGGCTGCAGGCCTCGCTCGTGTTGCTGTGAATTTTCGTAAAACAGATTTTTCGCGCTGTTTAACTTCGACCGTAGGCTTGTTGGGTTACCCAGCACTGGTGCCGTCGAACCATCATCAAAGCAAGATTACCAACGCAGCGCAGGGCTCGACACCAGTGCAGGGAAAGTGAGGAGAAACCGATTGCAAACACTCCATCATATTTGGCGAAACTAATGAAAATTCGCGGTTTTCGAGCAACGGTGGAATGTGTACGTGCGATTCCCATAGACATTGACAGCCTGTTTCCAAGGCGATCATAACTCGCCCCTGCTTTAAGTAATAAGTCTGCTTGAGCGCTCACATGAGCGCTGACAGCTCATGCATTATTCATGTAGAATGGGTAATCTTCCTCTAAACACAGTGAGGATCACAGAAATACAATCCGAGTCTTTATTTAAACACATGATAAGGATGCAGCCTGGATGTGCTGGTAATGCTCCTTTATAATTTGGACAAAGTCTGCAACCCCACGGTAGGCTAACAGGTCAAATTGTACCAAGCGCAGAGTCTCTTGAAATTCATCCTGGGAGGATTCGGAGTATAAATCCAACTGCGAAAGCTTCTTTGACCAATCATCGAGAACAGGGAGCATTCCAATGGTGATCGGAGTGTATGTTGGACGAGGTCTGAGACGGTCACGCAGAAGGGAAGCCACACTGACATCACGATCAATCCTCCGTAGGCCATTACGGATAGGGTTTTCATCCTTGGAATGGCCTTTGTTGATATTCCACATGGTCGCCCACACCGCAACAAAGAAAAACGAATGTATGTCATCCACTGGAGTGTGGAGGTACTTGGCATCCCTGATTATGGCATCACGGACGCGAGGGGACATAAACTCATAGGTCCCCTGGAGAATGTTCAGTGCATTGCACAGTAGGCTCAACATGTGACTTACTGAGATCGACTCTGCAGTGACTGTCCTGGTCAAGTAGCTGGGCATGTACGATGCAAGATCCCCATCTGAAATAATGGCCTGGCACTCCATCATATCGGCAAAGAGCCCGAGTTCCGCAATCTCCCTCTCCAGAGCCTCGGCAGCGGACATCACCTCCTTAACTGCATCCTTCAAAGCTGGTCCTGAATGTCCTTCCAATGCCTTGACTTTGTCTCTCACGGGCTTGCTGAGTCCCTCCATATTTGTATTGACGCCCATGATAACGTCATGAAAGTCTTTCAATTTGTTGATGTTGAACGGTGCCATTTGTGTAGGTTGCACCAGCTTGAGAACATTCCCAATACTGACGTCTCGTTGCAAGTACCCACATTGATACGTCGAAAGCCACCCTACAAAGATCAGCATGGTCCTGGATAAAGGAGAAGCGAACCACAATACGAACCGAGCATGGCATGCAGAAGACAAATGCACAAATCCCAGGGGGTATCGCAGCACTCAAGGCTGCGGCCTCGATCTCGAAGAAGTGTCACCGTCAAACTACGATAATCCGGGATACTTGGACAGGGTAAACCGATATCTTTTAAGTGAAACTCACTCGCCTCCGACTTGGGACTTGGAAGGAAGTACGAATTGGTCGATTTATAACCTCTAGAATTGAACGGCTCATACGACGAGAGGAGAGTCGCAGTTCCAAATTCACCCTTTGAATGTCGGTACATGTTGCACTCCACATCTTTCTTCTCATGAGGAGGCCAAGAACCTTTCAGGATTAATGAAGAATTTGATACCTTTTCGTACATCCTTTGCTTTCGAGTCGCCTGGTGGTCATGGAATCGAATACCGAATGAACCACTGAAGTCGTATGGGGATGGGAATACTAAATTGTGTTGATCACGTTTTGCCTAGTATAAATAACAGTTCTCTCACTTGAATCGTGCATATCGTTGTTCTTGTCGTTGGGGACTTGCCCCAATTTGGGTTTCTTCGACCCTATCATTGACAAGGTTAGGACGTCATTCACCAAAGATTAATTAATTCGCCTTGCCCGACAGAGATTCTTCCTCGACCCCCCGCTTCGCGACTGCGCTTGTTTGATCGGTGGACAAGCGTCAATGGGAGCCGGTATTTGACTCTTGGGTGGCTTGCCCGTTCCTGACACCAAAGGAGTTTGGGGAACTGCTTTGTTGTTCGACGGGGAAAGCTGCATCAATGCCACGAAAGTGTTACGGCCACGGGACGATGGACGATTGTAGAGGACTTCCTGGTGAATCGCTTCGACGGTGTCGTCCTCCCCAGAGGGGAAAATGAACTTCTTCCCATCCGTGAACTCTGGAAACCCGGCATCACCAGGTGTCTGCCAGAGCAACATGCTCAGCAAGATCTTCATGAACTTGCGAATATCATGGGCTTCCCCATCTTTCGTCATGAGCCTCAATTCCTTACTTGCAGAGAGGCCACCACGGTGGAAGATGAGGACACGAAGGGTTTCGGTAGCGTGATTGACGGCGATGGTCACAGTGAATGAACGTAACGGAGTGTCGTTAAATTGAGCACGACCATAAGTACCGCTCTGGAGCAGCAAGTCCTTCCAGCGATCCTTTACTTCCACTGCCACAGCGATCCTCTGAAGATCCCGTTCGCAGGATTTGGGTGGTTTGCTCCAGCAGGCAATGAAGTCCCCAGATGGTGTGTCTTCAATGACCAATCCAACGATGTCTGGTTTCAAAGGTGCGGCGTTTTGCACCTTGTCGAAGGTTGGCTTATGGTATTTAACGAACCGGAGGGCAGGCCAAAAGGCTTTGCTGAATTCCTGCAAATTGAATTCCGATGCCTGGAGATCCGTCTGAATCGACTGATATGTGTCAGTGCAAAGCTTAACACACTCGTTGAGGAATTTGGTGATATTATCGTAGTTCTTCGCTTCTTCTTGATGAAATGGGCTGGGTTTTGGCATATTTTTGAACAACTTCCGCATGGCAGACTCAATGCGAGGGTGATCAATGAGGATATCGAAGTGACAGAGCTCCAGTAAACCGCCATTTTCAGGTTCATGTTTAAGAATCTTGGGGGACAGCATGCGAGCGATATCATCTGGACCGGACTCCCATGCATGACCAGAAAGCTCTTCTTCAACGTGTTTCTTCAGATCATGTTGAAAGACCTCTGGAGGAGGTGTCATTGTCGTTTGGACGCTGGGATGACTCTTCTTCTGCGGACTAGAGTGGGTTGCCGACATGGCATGCAGCAGTAGGACTCAGGCGAAAGTAGGAAGGTTGACTGGTGGTGTCGGAGAACCCTGCTCGAACAACACCACAGAGTTAGATACATAATGGCAAATGTGAAAACATGTGTTGGTCTTCACATTTTCAAAGCTGGCAAGCTTGAGTCAATGACTCTGAGTCCCACGGAATGATAGTCAGTTGGTTCCAGCGTCGAGTTCTGGCAGAAGCATGATGCCGCAAAATTGGAGGCAAATCATTGCTAACCTCTTGGTGCTAAGAGCATGAGAACGGACTTGAGGGATCAAAAGCATCTGAGCCCACCTTGGACAACCACTATGTGAGCCTTTATAGGGGGGACCTCAGGATGCTAATCAGTTCTGACCAACTTAGTGGACATGGCCCATGATGCAACGTGGGCCAGCGCAAAATGGGATTGCAAGAAAAGAAAAAATAAATATTACAACGGAGACAACAGAACCAGTCACAAAGGTGGAGTTGGGGAAGGTGGAGGGTAGGCAGAAGAGAGAGCAGCGCAAGCGAGGTTGGAACAAGAGCTGAGAGCAGCAATCACGATAAAGAAAACAAGAGAGAAAGATATGCTTACAGAGAACAGTAAGAAGGAAGCGGAAATGCAATAACTATGCAATAACCAGAGGGGGTACTGGCAAGCGAGCATGAGTTACAAGCTCTGCTGCGCTGGGGGAAACATACCAGTAACTCCGAGCACAAGTGTGAAGGCAAGCGAGCAGGTGGGGGAAAGGAGCAAACCTCCCCCTTCCTCAGCAACCCTCAGCCATGCTTGAGGCAAGTTAGGACCCAGGCAGTTGGTCACCCATCACGATCCATCAGCACTGTGGCAGCGCAGAACGAAATGGACTGCTCCAGGTCGCATGTGCCCGGCCCCGATTAGTCCCATGAAATAGGATATTAAACTGGAATTTGCATGGGGCCTAAAAGGCCTTTTTCACTATAACGTCCTAGGACATCCTGGCCATTCAGTTTTATTCATTTATTGCAAATGTCCTCAGATGTCCTAATTCAGTTTGATTCAATGGTTGCAAATGTCCTCAGATGTCCTAATTCAGTTTGATTCAATGGTTGCAAATTGTCCCGGAATGCCATGCTCGTCCATCTCATGCATGGTCTGTGCACATGCTGACCACTGTCTAGAGGGATGTCAAGACTGTTTCCCATGGTCTGAATGCACTTTACATAGTTGAATAGCCCCTTTAAATAGCTTCCAGAATATATATTTTGAGACTGAATTGACCAATAAACTATTGAGAAAAATACAAAATACTTTTTTGGACGCGAGTCTTTTGATGGTGGCTGTCCAACTTAATGTCTGTGCACAATGCTGGTCACTGTCTGAAGGGGTGTCAGCACTGTTTCCCATGGCCCCAACACACTTTACACAGATAGATAGCCCCTTTGAATAGCTTCCAGAATATATATTTTGAGACTGAATTGACCAATAAATCATCGAGAAAAACACAAAATACTTTTTTGGACACGAGTCTTTGGGTTAGTGTGGCTGTCCACCTTGCACAGTGCCAGCCACTGTCTGGAGGGGTGTCCAGACTGTTTCCCACGGTGTCAACACACTTTGTGTAGTTGGATAGCCCCTTCAAATAGCTTCCAGAATATATAATTTGAGACTAAATTGACAAGCAAGTTATTGAGAAAATGCAAAATACTTTTTTGGACACGAGTCTTTGGGATATCAGTGACATATAGTAAGAAACTGAATGGGTCAGGTGACAAAATGAAACAAAAGGAACAGAATAAGGGCCGGCATCTGGGTCAGAATGCATGGTTGTGACACTCCGGAATCCCGTTTGCATCTCTGTCTCGGAACTCCAGTCTTAGCTCCAACCTCGGACTTTGACCCCACCTCCGTTTATACCCATTGTATTGGTTAGCTGATTCCCTTTGCCAATTTAACTTCCAAGTTTGGACTTTCCGGACTTACTTCAGACCTTGCAACTATTGCATTGTCCCATTTCCGCTATTCTCCCTCATTCCTATTTGGGCTGCTGCTTCCTTTCTATTCAGTCAGCTAGCCATTCCTGACTCCCAACCTCCTTCCTTCCTCCTTGGGCCTTGGCCCTTCACTCCTCCTTTGGGAAATCAAACCCTTGACCCTCGGTGTTGTTCCTCCTTCCAGCTCCCTTGGTCTCTTTTCATCCTACCCTTGCTCCATTTGATTTCGGACCCCTCCTTATATACAATGTACCTAGTAACTTGTAATCTCAGTCCAAAATCAACTTGATTCCCCCTAAGAGACTTCCCCTCTGCTAGATCCAAAATTAGGGACCCCCAGGACAACCAGCAATGGCACAGCGCTCCACATGAGTGGCTGAGGCTGAGGTCCTTCCATGCAAAGTCTCCGATTCTACTCCGGAGTTGTCCGAACTTGCCATATCTAACAGGGGGTGCCGAATATGGCATCGTATCTGTCGATGTTGATGACATTGAAGTAATGTTTCTCAATGTGGTTGTTGATCTTGATGCCCACGTTCATTCCAAACAAGATTTTTAATCTTGTTCCTTTTGTCCCCATTTGGAGGATGACCAGATTCTCCAACTGGAGAATTGGGGTGTGGACTGCATGGATGAAATCCGGTGATATTGTCAGGACATGGTGAGGAGGGAGCAGCATGCCTGGACCTTTCCCCGGAAGGAAGGCCAGAGGTAGAGGACGGGCAGAAGGGCTGTGGCCTCAGCGACTCGGAGGGGAGTGTTGTGCCTATGTTTGGCATGAACTCTGGGGGAATAGTCGTTATTGTTGATTTTGCACTCAGGTGCCATCAACTACAGTACAGGACTTATATACATTATACAAGACAAATGGGAACAAAGTGAAAACCCAAGATGGACTTACCCACTTGCCAGGTTGGTGATCTCATGAGAAAATTGCCTTATCAAGCATTGTGGAGTGAGTAGATGAAGGGTGGAATTAGTGACAGCTATTGGAAAGTGGGAAAACCTTTGTGGGGTTGATGGAGGTCCTAGGAGGTCTGTAGTAATATTGGGTAGGTAGAAATATTAATAAACATCTAAGATGAGGATAAGAGGTACTGGAGAAGGTACCAGAGATTGGAGGTGGAGGTGGACTGGAGGTATACTGGAGGGTATGGTGGAGGTGATGGAGGTGATGGACCGGAGGTGGACTGGAATGGTGGCGGAGTAGGTTGGAGGTTAGGCGGAGTTGGTATGGATATGACAGATATCACATCCGTTTTGGCCCCACTGTCAAACAGCAGGTAGGCTTTTATGCCTGCTATTTTGATGTGGGCCGTCAGCATTCTCTTACTGGAGAGCGGTCTGTTTGCAGGATATTTCCCCACATCTTTTGAGATGCAAATTTTCGCATCGAATAAGGGGGTTTGGGTTTCGTCAGACTTCTGGTCCTTCTTCCCTTTCCCCTTGTTCTTCTTGGGTTCCTTGGCATAGGTTCCCAAGGCATCTTTCTTTGGTGTTTCTACCAAAGCCTCTGTGACTTTCTTGTCTGCAGATTCTTCTAACTGGTGTGTTACTGCCAGTTTGACTCTGTAATTGATCTCATTGTGGTCAACGGCGGGCATTGGGCCCATTCTTATGGTCCCAATATTAACTTCCTCACCCTCTGAATCGGGTGAGTATTGAGGTCCCACATATGGGTCCTCGACTTCGAAGCTTGACACTTCAGAGTCACCAGAGTTATTCTCTGGTTTACCTTCCGATGAGTCCTCCAACTCTTCTTCTGATAGTTGGAAAACTTCCATGGCAGCTATGCGCCTTGGTTTCTTGTCGCTTATTGTGTGATGTTTAGGGCAATCTTTTGTTTTCCCTAATTTGCCACACTTGCTGCAAATTGAAACTGATTTTTGGTCAGTTTTCCTCGAATATTTCAATGATGAGTCCTCTTTCCATCTGGGTTTGGGCTCCTCAGCCCTTTTCCCTGATGAAGGGTTCTACCACAGCTTGTGGTTGCTGTGGTAGTTGTTTGGGTGTAGTAACCTGATTTGTATGCTGAAGACATCCTCAGCCCATCAATTATCTCATCTACATGAGATATTGCTTTTATCATCTCCTCATTTGAGGAGAAGTCCACTCTGATTCTGTCATGAGTGATCATTTCCCTCTTCCATTTGAGGGGAATGTTATTTAGGAACCTGGCATTGAAGGACGCCTGGTCTGGCAGCATCACAATTTGGGATGCTGCTTTTGACAGTTCTAAGTAGAACTGTTTTAAGCCTTTGCCCACCTCATATTTTATGTTGTGGTACTTCTTTGTCACGTTTAACACAGCAGATGCTTTTATGAAAGTTCTCATCAGTATGTTGAGAACTTCGAGGAACATGCCCTTGCCTCCTCTGAGGAGAGTTTCATCTTGGAGTCTTATTCTGAGGTCGAATGTGGGTCCCCCTAGTCCATGAATTAGGCAGTCCAAATGAACTTTGTTGAACTGGGGGCCTTTGCATCCTCACGAGGTGAGGAATCCCAATAGTTCCGTGAACCATTGCCAGAATGACTCCATGTCATTCTCCCCTGACCATTTCTTGTCAGGGAAAGCCACGCCATTCTTCAGGGCCTCCGGCTTTACTCCCTCCAGGTATGGAGTGAGTATTTGTATTCTTACTTTATGGCCTTTTTGTACCATTTTTCCAGGTACTCCTCTTGTTCCCCTGCCTTAGCAGGGTCACTGTCCAATGGAGATTTCTCCTTTGGGGGGTTTTTCGCTGGGAGAGACTGTTCTCTCAGCAGTTCTTTTGTTTTGGGTGGTTGTACCTAGGCTGGATATCAATTCTCTCATTCTTTTGAGAGAGCAGTGTAGGAGAAATAATGGTCACCCTATGAAAACTCATCATGGAAATATTACCTTGCTTGCAAGGTCTCTTTCACATACACAATTCATGGGAACTTTTACTTTCCCACATGTTGATATTGGACCACATATGCTATCTGTTCCCCTGCTCCTCCGAGATAATAAACATATGTAATTTGTCATAAATTGTGAACAACAACAGCA